TTTTTTTTTTTTTTTTTTTTTTTTTTTGGTATTATATAACATTATAAAAGTTTTAAATTAATAAAAAAACGAAACCTTTTGAAAATTTTCTAGTTTTTTTTTTTTTTTTAGAAAAATAGAAAAAAAAGGGAGAAATTGATACAGAACATTTTGGTAGAAATACATATGACGCTATTAGAAGAATGTATGAAAGAAGAATTGCAAAAAGAAAAGGAATATTTTTTTAAAAAAATGGTGGAAGAATTGAGAATACAAGAAAATTTAGATGAGGATGTTAACATATTGGATATAAAAAGAAAAAGTAGGAATGTTATATTAAATAATGATAAAGAGAAAATAGAAGAATGGAAAAAAAAGAAATGGTTTATAGAGTTAATATTGGAAATGAAAAACAAGGAAAAGGAATACCTAAAAGATATATATGAAGAAATGATAGCAAAAAAGAATGAGGACAGAATTAGAAATCCCATGTTAGAAAGGCAAAAAATTATATGGAAAAAACACTGTGAAGATATTCATAAGAGGTGGATAGAAAAAAATAATAAAGAATGTTTTACAACAGTTATTTATTATTAAATGAATGAAGATAACGAATAAAAAGCAAAATTTATATAGCATAGGTGATAAAACAAACGTGAAGAAACTGGAAAAATTCGTAAAACAATAGAAAAAATTTTAAACGTGATAAATAGAATTATTGTTCTTTTTGAATATTTTTTAAGAAATAATCTTAGGCATCGCTATATGCTTAGTTATTGATTTATTAATTAATCATTCAATAATATTGTTAGAATATTGATTTATTAAATGCTTGTATAATCAATTTGCTTACGATGAACAAATGAATTAAATAAAGAAAGTTTAAAGATAATTATAGTTATTTTATTTAGAATAAAATAAATCATTAGATAAATCATTTATTTTTATTAACTAATATTAAATTTTAACTCTATTATTTATTTTTTTAAGCTAATTTATACAATACAAATGTAATGTTTAACATTATGTTATTTAATGTTTCATACAAAAAAGAATAATATCCATTGCATCACCAAAAAAAAAAAAAAAAATGATTATTTTTTTTTTTAAAATGATACTATTTTTTTCTATTAAGAAATAAAATTATTAGCATTATTTTTTTGCTAAAATTTCCCAAATCTGCAGAATATAAAACCAATAAAAAAATAAAATATTTTTTTTTATAATTTTAAATAGATATAATAAAAAAAAAAATAAATGAAATATATTTGTTTTTTTTTTTTTTTTTTAATGTAATAACTTTTTTATTTTCTTTTCAGTGGTATTATGAATTATTAATTTGTTAAATAATAACTTTTATAGTGCTTTAAATAGTTAAATTAATATAGAGCTTGTAAAATGATATCTACTTATTCTTTTTAATATAAAATTGACCTATGCATATAATTATATATCTATTATACAAGTATCAATTCATAATAATCTTATTATATTTATTATAAAATTCACTCTATTTGGCATACTTCTTAGTATTTTTTTATATAAAATATAAAAATTATCATATTTACTCATCTCCTAAAAGTGAATAAATAAAAATAAAACATTCTTTTTTTTTTAAAATTAAAAATGCATATATAATGTTTTTTTTTATGAGTAAATTATTAATATAACATATATTATGCAAATATAATTCTACTACATCTATGAAGGTATCCTTTTAAACAAAATCTATTTTGTATTTTATTTCTATAAACGCAAAAATTATTATAAGTGTTCTCATATATATATCTTTTTATATACTTTTTAATTATCCTGCATGTATCTACATTGCTCCAAAATGAACTTATATCATTCTGCAAATTATTAAAAAGTTAAATGGAGTCTTTTAGTAATCATATTTCTAGTATTGAGCAAAAAAAATTAATAAAAAATATGTAGAGAAAACTACACTTGTTTTATTTAGGTTAAAATAAATTATCATACAAATTATTTAGTTTTTCTAATTCCCAAATATTAATCACAATAGTTACTGAGTTAATTTACACAACACGCTATAAAATATAATATTAACATAATATTTTTAATTCTTACACTTAAAAAATTATACTTCACACCATCAACAAAAAAAAAATATATGATTATCCTTAAGATTATAGCTTTTTTTTTTTAAATTTCTTTTTCAAGTCAGTTATTTTTTAATTAACCATTCAGTGTTATTGCTATTATCTAACAAACAAATTAATAAAGATCATATGAGGAGAATTTTACATATTTTTATTTTTTTAAATTAGGATATAAATTAAATCATTCATTTTATATTAATTAATATAAAACATTAATTATGTTAGTTAATTAATATTGTTATTAATTTACATAACATCCCATGCGTACCATATTTTACATTGCATTTTTAATCTTTCTTAAAAAATAACAAAATACTCTTCATCTTTGTCCTTAAAAGATAAAAAAATATTTTTTTTTAAGATGTCATATTTTTTTTAAATAAATAATAAGAAAAAAATATATTTTCTTATGTAATTGTAAGTACACAAAAAAAATATTATAGATATATGTTTATTTTATTTTTTTTTAGCGTATTTTTAGTGCAAATATATATATATATTTTTTTTTAATATACACATTTATAAGTTCACATTTTCCACATATTTTATAATGCTCTAAATAAAATGTTTTTACTCATTTTATTTTATTAAATATTATTTAAAACAGTTTGATAATATAATTTATAGATTGCATTCTCTTTATTAATTTGTTTGTTCAGTACTCTGGTAAAGTTACCGAACACCCAGTTAATAAATCAAATATCGACTATTAATTAAATGTGAATTACTTATTTCTTTGTTATGAATTATGTTCAGGAATTTAAATATATTGCTTTTGAATTAACCAACATAAACAATTAGTAAAAATGCAAATTAATTATATGAATATTAATTACGTGAAAATTTTAATTTGTATCCATAAAATTTTCTCTCACAAATTCAAAATATAAATATTATGCAAATTAAGCTCTTTTATGAAAACATTATTATCTTTTTAAAATCTCATTTTTATTGGTACTAATTCTTACTCTCGACTTTTATTTTACCAATCTTCTCTTTTCCTCTCTTAATATATCGTTTAAAAAAAATAATAAATATTTTTTTTTTTTAGTTAGCACAACCAACTACGTATTCTTCACATATATAGTCCTTTTTATAAACAAAAAAGATTAATGAAGCTTTTTATTAACCAGTTATACATTTCTCTATAAACAATACTATTGACCTTCTTTGTATAATATTTACACAAATAAATAGAATAAAAACATTTTATTTTGTGCATGCTAAACCGCAAGGACAATCTGCTATCATAAATGTCTGCTCTAAAATAGATATTCAAAACGTATGTAAGCAAAAAACATATCTATATGTTACTTGGACTTAATGTGAGTGCACATAAAAAAAAATATATATTATAATGATATTTTTTTTATTATAAAAAAAAAAATGTAATCTTAAAAAAAAAATTAGTTTTTTTTTTTTTTTTTTTTAGGATAATGTTCAGACTACTATAGAATGTATATTTTTATTTTAAGCTAAATGTAATATTAAGGAAATTATATTTTGGAGTGTTGCTTATATTAAAAAAAAAATAATAAACTAATAAGTTATATTAAATGTTTATTAATACAAAAAAAAATTTATATTAAAATTAGGTAGAGTTTACACTACATTTTCCTTATTAATTTATTTCTTTGACATGAGGAAAGTAATTTAACAGCCATTAATAAATCAGAGATATAAATAATTTCTTTTCCTTAGGAATATTATCTTATTTATAATAATTATAATAATTTTAATACGTCATGAACTATCATTTGGATAATTTATGTTTCTATATCTTCAATACACACACTATTCAAATTATTTTAATATCATGTAATATCTATGTTAAATGTAAGACACTTTTATATTTTACATATTTTTACTTGTAAGAACAACTTCTACATATAATATTAAAAAAATGTAAATCATAAAAAATGCACTTTCATTAAATTTATGATTATTTCTTAGAGAAAAATTAGTGTTATACTATTAAAAATGATAGTATTTATGCACACCACTTTTTATTCATAATACGTCAAAGATTCTAACAAATTAAATTTAAAAAATAATAATTCTTATTAAAATTCTTCATTAATGTTTACAAAGATGTCTTATAAAATTTAAACTTTTAAGAAAAAAGTTATATTAGAAAGGGACAATTGTTGAATTCATTTATACTATATAAATTATTTACCTAAATTTCGTAGGTAAAATGAATAATAAAAAATTGTGCTATAAATATATAAAACTAAAAATAAAAAAGAAAATAAACATATCGTAATAATAATAAACACTTATCAAATAAATATGTACAGGTAAAAAAAAAAAAAAATTTATTTTTTTTA